GTCTTAGGGTATGTTTGAAATATGTATTTACACATTGTATATCTTGAATCTTTGTTAGAATGGTTCAATGTAAATAGATAGTCTTTTCATTTTAATGCATAATAATATAGTACTTATATTATAACAGAGGTACCGTATTTAATAGTTCACTTTTGTAAATAATCATTTTGTATCTTTTCAGTGTTTTTGTTATGTGTATGAAGTGTATTTTGTCCTGAAATAAACTGTTGTATTGTTAATTGGAGTCAACTAGTCTATACAACTTTACCCACGACCTGGACTGCCGGATAGTCTGTCTGTCCGTCAAAACTCCAGCTACATGTTCCTAGGATTTCTTATACTAAACCCATTGCATCCAAAATATTTAATTACAGAAACGCATTATCTGACATCAATGCAAAAGACTTATATAATAACCCTCTACCATGTTCTTGCTCTACGTCGTCCTTCCTTTACCCACCAGCTGGACATGTGGTCACTGGTGATTTGAACATAGTCCAGAATAATAAGCTACGTGAAATTTTGCCCAAAGGACCCAAATACCGGGAAGCGCAACCATTTTCATAGGATCAAAATTTCAAACTTATTATGGATGTCGTAGAGGACTACGCTAGATGACCTGGCGCTTGGTACGTTCGGGCATTTTTATGCGCGAACTCTTAGGTTTTTTTTACTGGCATGCGCACAGGTACTATTTCTTTTTCTTTTAACAAGTACCCAAATCGGGGATTTCGTGCGGAGGTAGTTCGGAGGTAAACAGTCTGTGAAGTACAAAACTTGCTACTGTACCTGTGTATCGCTAATTATAAACCGAATGTGTGAAGACAGTTCATACATATCACTCAAAAATTTTTCAGTACAAACTCAGTTGATTCACGCTCGATTTGCTACTAAACAAACCCATCGGTTTATTTTCTCAACAGTGTGACCCGAAGTGACCGCGGATTTATTGACCTTGTATGAACTTATCCATAGCTATATCCTTACACCGAGAGAAATTATCTAGTCTCGGTGAAAAGAACCATGGTCATCTGGTAGAAAATTACTTTTGTATTTTCTGGAACGGAAAACAGTGTTTTTAGAAGCAAACTAACCTGCCGCACATGAGGAAGTCATTATACTAATAATAAAAGGCGAGACCTCTTTTTGCGGCGCAGGCTTATCACTGAGTAGTAAACCGTCCACAAACAATAATATAGGAAGCCTAGTGACGAGTGTTGTGGTAAGTAGGCTATAGACTATAGGTTTGAGTCGAGATTACTCGCTTTCAGTTTACTCTGTTTTTGCGATAACCAATTATGTGAGAAATACCATACTGACATTCGGTTTTTAAAAGTTGTACGCGAACTAAATGCGTTTGTTAGATACTGACAGAGCAGCCCCGAGTCGAACAATCGCCGCCCGAGCTGTCTTCGTCAGCTAGTTTCACAATATCGTGCAATAGGTGTATTAATGTGATTTTTAGGTTTAACCCCGCAAACAATGCCAAAATAGTGTTTTCACTGCTTACAGAAAACTGAAATTTAAAAAAAAAATTTTTTATGAGGGTGACCCTCCCACACACTCCCTATCGAGCTGCCGCTCGGTCTGCGCAGCCTCATGCGTGGCACATACTGTCAACATTGTATATTTTTCCGTTTCCGCCCTTCCCCCCCACAATAATTTCACGGCTACGTTGCGACGGTACCAGCATACCCAGTTGTTGACACCCATTACATCACTCCTGTCTAACAAATCATAAAGCTGTGGTGTTACGGTGGCGGCATAGTATTTCACCGTAACACCACAGCCACTCTAACCATTCATAATACATCTAACTACCCCTTTACAGCACTTCACTCCCTACACATTTCCCCTCGTCCTACTTTCCCAAACGTCAACAACACATCTCATACATCCAGTTCGCTGATTAACCCTTGTACCACGTCTACTGGATCATCGGCCAAGAGGGAAGATGTTATCTAGGATACTCTCTTTGATTGGACTAAGTCTATTTTTCATTATAACACCACTCCATATTCATCTCTCATTAATAGACTTTCTATCTGTAGACCTAATAATGAAATATTTAAATGTAGTTTACAATATAGAGGCACAGTGCTTTGGAATTCTCTCCCATATTCACTTAAAAATATTAAAAATCTTCATTTATTTAAGAAAAATATCACTAGGCATGTTATTTCTTCTTCTTAACCTGTAGCCTATATTTAATATATCAACTACTTACTACATATTATCTATCATATTACTTTTAGTTTTGAAGTTAAACTATTTAGCTTACCAATATATATTTGAATGTTTTGTGTGTGAGTGTCTTGTTCTGTTACTGTCTTTTTCATTTCTTTGTTATAAAGGGCAAAATTGTAAACAGGCCCTAAGCCTAATTTTTCACCTTTGAAAATAAAGATATTATTATTATTATTATCAGTCGTTTACTTAAACGAAGAATATACATGCAACGTTTGTCTGTTGACACTAGGCCTAAGTCTATTTTCAATGATGTTAGCATTGTTGAAAATCTCAATGCCTTGCATGACAAGTATGTCATTGTTCCGGCTGACAAGGCGTCCAATAACATAGTGTTTATATGTTAACGACATTATTTTGACTGTCTGTTCAAAGAACTTAATTTCGGGAAACCAATCGACAGTGCTACATATAAACGATCTACTCTTAGTAAGGATGAAATTATATCCAATCACAAATCTGTACTCATTTCATTTGGTACTCCGTGTGGAGATACCTATACAGATTTGCCCTTGTTATATTTGATACCTAAACTACATCAAAATCCCTACAAGCAACGTTTTATAGCAGGTTCATCCCGTTTTTCCACAAAACCACTTTCAAAAGTATTGAAATCTATACTAACGGCTGTTAAAGAGGGTATTCAAAAATACTGTGACAAAATATACTCTCGTAGTGGTATAAATCAAATGTGGATATTGAAAAATTCCAAAGAATTACTTGATGGTTTGCAATCTAGATCCCTTGCTTCAGTCTCATCTATTCAAACGTTTTACTTTTCTACTTTGTACACTAAAATTCCCCATAGTAAATTAAAAGCCCGGTTGAAAGACATTATTCACAGTGTCTTTTCGTCGAAATCAAGTACTGCTAGATATCAATATTTAGTTGTAAATTACAATTCCACATATTTCGTTAAGAATCACAGTGATTCCAAAAACAAATTCACGGTCATCAAGATAATTCAGATGTTGGATTTTTTAATTGATAACATCTTTGTTGATTTTGGAGGGGAAATATATCAGCAAGTGTTTGGCATCCCCATTTGCACCTTTGCTTGCTGATCTGTTTCTCTATTCGTACGAAGCCGATTACATTACAGACGCTCGTAAAACTAATAAACGATCAGTCAGACTTTTTAATTTCACTTATCGATATATCGATGACGTTTTATCACTTAAAAATCCTAAATTTAGTGATTATGTAGAATTCATATATCCTGATGAGCTCGAAATTAAAAACACCACTGACAGTGACAAATACGCTTCCTACTTGGATCTGCGTCTCGATTTTGACAATTGCCATAAACTGAGTGTTAAATTGTACGATAAACGTGATGACTTTGACTTTCCGATTGTTAACTTTCCATTTATTAGTAGTAACATTCCAATATCACCAGCTTATGGAGTGTTTGTGTCTCAGCTAATTCGTTACGCGAGAGCTTGTTCCTTTTATTCTGATTTAAGTAGATCGAGGCATTTGTCATTAAGCTTCAACTACAAGGATACACTAAACTTATTAAAACCTTTAATTGTTTTATGGCCGTCATATTGATTTGATTGGTAAATATAACGTGTCTAGATATATTTAATTGACACGTATACTATTACTATCTCCCTGATAATGTCTACTACATCGTTAACACAGTTCATCGCGTGTATTTTGCATACCGATAGTTCATTGGCCAATCACGCTATTTTACCGACATTTCGCCTAATAGTTTGGATGCAGCTATGGCGGGTGTAGCGCCAGGCAGGGTAAGCTTACTCTTCCGGACACCTGTTACCACTGTTTGTCGTGTATTTTGTACACGAGGAGTAGTCCATTTGCTGATTACACTATTTTGCCTATAGCGTTTTTTTAGGACTTCGAATTCTGTCTTATGGTTTGGATTGTTCGTACTTGGTTTTATTTTATTGGTTAGTGTGTCCACCGCTTTACTAGAAAAAAACTGGATTCCCTATAAACCAACAAGGGAAATGCACAAAACAAAAATGTGAGGGTATCACAAACTAGCAGTCAAACGGTGACATGGGTGCTACAGCCTACAAATTCCAACTACCATGGGATCGATTACGTGCATGCCAATGTGTACATGGGACCCTGGTTTTATGTTCCATCGAACGACTAGACAGGCCCTCCGTCCTGCACCTATGACAAGCGGAAACCACGCCCTAAAATCCAAATGAGTTTTATCGGTCAACACTGGGAGCAAACATGCAACCTCCAGGCTAGCAAGCCAGCGCCTTACTCAGCCTCATGGCTCTCTTCTAATTACTGTGACAGTCCAGTCACATGACCAGTAGGGGTTATTAAAACAAATTTTTACAGCTTAGGTAAGATCTTTGGGATTCAAATGGTTTTGGGTAGATATTTTAGTTTCAGTTTCATATCACACGGCTAAGATGCCGACTCGCTAGCCTGGAGGTCGGGTGTTCGATCGCTGCATTGGCCGAGAAAGTTCATCATGATTTTCCAACATGGTTTCCCCTTGTCAGTGATGCAGGACAGAGGGCCTGACAAGGACAGCTGTCTAGTCCTTCGGATGAGACAAAAAAAGAGGTCCCGTGTATGCATTGAAATGCACGTAAAAGATCCCTTGGCAGTTGGAATTCGATATAAGAGTAGGCGATAGTGCCGCTGCCCGGACAAAATTTCCCTAATAGCACACTGTATGGCGTTAAACCCCATCAAATTTCATATCACACAGTTTGTATATGGGTAATTACATGTCATGTATTTATTTTTTTCAGTTTATTTATTAGATGCCATAGCAGTCAAAAAAAAAGTGGGAGAAGAAAGAGCTGAAGAAAGGATGATTACAGCATCTATGATTTCTGATAGGTGTTTTTGATGGGTGAGTGTTCAATTCTAATAGAAAAGATTGTTTTTATGGTATTTTGGAATTTCACCATAATGTTTGGCACAATATAGCTGGGTTGGAGCTGATGAGACAAAACTCCATTTCATTTCATTATTTTGGAATCTATAATTCCGTTTAGATAGATATTTTAGTTTCAATATCATATCACACACTTTATATATGGTAAGGTATCTCTATAAAGGTTAATTAGTCATGTAAATATGACTGTCTCATCTGTGGGGAGCCACGGTGGCCTGGGTGGGTAAGACGCTGGCTTGCATATTTTAAGATCGCGGGTTTGCTCCTCTTGTTAGCTAAGAAAATTCAGGACGGAGGGCCTGACAAGGACAGCTGTCTAGTCATTCGGATTGAACAAAAAAATGACGTCCCGTGTACACATTGGCGTGCATGTAAAAGATCTCCTGTCAGAAATCGATATAAGAGTAGGCCTTAGGGTCAAGGTACCCGGCAGAAATTCCCTCATAGCACACTTAATTAACCCAGTTGGAGCAGAACAGTAGGACGTTACACCCCATTTCATTTCATTTCGTCTCATCTGTGACAAAGCAAACCAGCACATTAAAACTTCCATTTTTTAACTGTCTGGTCAATTTTAGTCAACTAATACATAGTATGTTTTTTTGTCCCCCGCCTTTCGAAGAAAGCAGGGGACTATTAAAATGGGTACGTCCGTCTGTCTGTCTGTCCGTCTGTCTGTCCGTCACACTTTTTGGGACACAATAACTCTCTTCCTAATTGTTTATTAGGTCAATGCCTTGATGGAGTTCGAAGATGAGCATTTTCCGCTTAGGGTAAGCAGAGATAAGCAATTTGATTGGTTGATGCTTTGGGACACGATAACTCTCTTCCTAATTGGGCTAGAATGTTCAAACTTGGTGTATGTGTTGATTAGGTCAATGCCTTGATGGAGTTCGAAGATGAGCATTTTCCGCTTAGGGTAAGCAGAGATAAGCAATTTGATTGGTTGATGCTTTGGGACACGATAACTTTTAATTGAGCTAGAATGTTCAAACTTGGTGTATGTGTTTATTAGGTCAACGCCTTAATGGAGTTCGAAGATGAGCATTTTCCGCTTAGGGTAAGCAGAGATAAGCAATTTGATTGGTTGATACTTTGGGGCACGATAACTCTCTTCCTAATTGAGCTAGAATGTTCAAACTTGGTGTATGTGTTGATTAGGTCAATGCCTTGATGGAGTTCGAAGATGAGCATTTTCCGCTTAGGGTAAGCAGAGATAAGCAATTTGATTAGATGAGCATTTTCCGCTTAGGGTAAGCAGAGATAAGCAATTTGATTGGTTGATACTTTGGGGCACGATAACTCTCTTCCTAATTGAGCTAGAATGTTCAAACTTGGTGTATGTGTTGATTAGGTCAATGCCTTGTTGGTTGATGCTTTAGGACAAGATAACTTTGATAGAGAGTGATGAAACTTAAGTGTATAGTTGATAATCAGTTTGATTGCTTGATACTTTAAAAAAAATAAATGTGCGATAAATTAATGTGTCATCTATTTATTTTGGTATTTTGGCGGGGGACATCAGCCTCACTGTTAGCTTGTTTTATTTCTCTCAGTTAACTACATCGGAAAGATCAAGACAGTTGGAAAGGGCTATTCATATTATGGAAACTTTTTCTCACAGAGCTTGATAATCAGGCAAAATGTAAGTACCATACATATTTGTTTTTTTAATTAGTAACTAGTACTATACACTTGGTATTCTAGTTATTCTTCTTGGGGCAATGCCTAGGGCTCTCCTATTTCAAGTACTTGGCATGCTTGTTTTTTGACAATCACATCATTGATTTTCTTCAAGTTGTGATATGTCTATTTTTACAGTAAATAGTTGACCTATTATTAGACTCTAGTCCCAAATCTCATTACTTTTTTTTTCTGACCCATTTGATTTGAGCATAATAATCTGCCTGGGTCTTTAACTGGACAAGACACAATAAGTGTTACCAAAAGTTGAAACAAAATAGAGACTCAATCTCGATGTGGCAAGGGGGGTTGGATGTCCGAATGGTTAGCATGTGGGTGCTGTATCATACGGTCTGTCACTGGCGTGGTTTCGATTCCACGGTTGTACGTGACGAGGAGTAGGGTCGCCTGGCGAATCTCGTGGGTTTTCTCCCACTGCTAAATTTAATTGGAAAATATGTTAGTCCTGAAATGACCTAGTTTGTGTCGAGTGGACGGTAAACCCCATTTCTTTCGATGTAGCAAAATAAATTGTTTATTTAAACATTCTGAACCATAGAAAGTGTTCTTATTGTCTACTTTTTTATTTTTTAGGCTGGAACACCCTTGCAAGTGTATTTGATGTATGATAAGAACGAGAGAACCCAACCATACCTTTTGAATATTTTACCATTAATTTATTTTATAGTTCTGGAAAAGAATGCATTTGACCTATTTTTTTAACTATTTTTTAATTTGTTTTTAATGTTAAATATCCTCCCCAAACACAATTAGATTTTAATTCTCTCCAGAAATTTATGTATAATATAGAAAGTAAAGTGACATATAAATCACTTAGAATTTGGTCGGAAATCCTAAAGTATTTAATAGATCTAGAAAACAAATATATGCAGAATTACAAAAATCCCGTGACCTACATTAAGGTGACTTTCTCTTGGTTATCAAATGAAATAGGGTTTAATATCCTACCTTTCTGTGTTGTTATGGTAATTCTGCCCTACAACCTACTCTTTTATCAAATATTTCAAAGGTTTCTTTAAAATGAACACAGGAAGCGATGGGTGGCGGAATGGTTAACACGCGCACATTGGATCAGATCTGGCATTGAGTAAAATATTTAAATTGTCAAGGTTTCTTTAAAGTGAACAAATTGGGGGTGGTTTTGATTCCCCGCTTGTACGTGACAAGGAGTAGGTGCACCTGTCAAACCTCGCAGGTTTTCTCCCACTACGAAAGACCCCTATGCTCAAGTGAATTCTTTAAAGTGAACAAATTGGGGGTGGTTTTGATTCCCCGCTTGTACGTGACAAGGAGTAGGTGCACCTGTCAAACCTCGCAGGTTTTCTCCCACTACGAAAGACCCCTATGCTCAAGTGAATTATTGAAATAATATTGAACCTTATGTTAGTCCCTAATTGACCCAGTTTGTGTCGAGTGGAGACTAAACCCTATTTCTATCTTGCTTTAAAATACACACCAAAGGTGTTTATGAGACCTAGGTTTATTGTCCTTTGCGAACAACTATATCATCCCTTGCCATGTCCTACACCACTGACATGGGGGAACTATGCCGGTAAATCCAGATGAAATTTCTCGGCCAACGCCTTATACTCACTGAACCAATGTAGCTCCCCCTTGCTTATGACTTTTTTATAAATATTTTGTACATATTTATTATTTGCCATTTTCTCTGATATTTTTATTTCGTTTATTTTACAATAACCTGTAATCTTGGTGCTTTCATTATTCAATGGGCGCTCCTTTTATAACTCCTGCAATAGTGCATTTTTCTTTTGTTAGTAGTTCTGTGTATGCTACTTATTTCTAGATGCCTCACAAATCACTTGTTAAATGACTTTGATGCACTTTCAGTTTTTGAAAGTATTTCAATTTGATGCATAATTATGTCATTATATAACACAATTTCATTAGTATTGGGGGGGGGGGGATCACGTGGCTAAGTGGGTAAGACGCTAGCTCGCTAGCCTGGAGGTCGGGTGTTCGATCCCTGCATTGGCCGAGAAAGTTCATCCAGATTTTCCGGCGTGGTTCTCCCTTGTCAGTGATGCAGGACGGAGGGGCTGACAAGGAAAGCTGTCTAGTCGTTCGGATGGGACGAAAAACCGAGGTCCCGTGTACACATTGGTGTGCACGTAAAAGATCCCTTGGCAGTTGGAATTCGATATAAGAGTAGGCCGTAGTGCCGCTGTCTGGGCAAAATTTCCCTCATAGCACACTGTATGGCGTATGCCCGTCTTCATTAGCCCAGTTCGGAGCAGAACAGTAGGACGTTAAACCCCATTTCATTAGTATTGGAATTAATTTTCTGTTAACATTCCAAATGTCTATTAGTTTTGATTTGACAGTATTAATTTACTTTTTCCTATCATTTTTAAATAAATAATAATTTAACAAACAAATTTATTGTTCCGTCATTTATTAAACCTTACAGGTTAAACAGAGCAAAAGAAGAGGTGCTGCATGGGAAAGGTTGCTATACTGGATATAAATTGGGGGAAAATACAACACAAGTTTTTGTTAATGGTTATACACAAATTTGTATGAAACCAAACAAGTTTCATAAATTTCAACACAAGTAATGTGTAGAATTTCACACAAGTTTGTGTTGTTTGATAAATTTTAACACAAGTTTTGTGTTGTCAACATTTAACACAAGTTTTGTGTTGTTTCCAACACACGTTTTTTTTCAGTGTAGCTGGCCCCAAGCCCCGAACTGATGCATATCAAAATTGAAATGGAATAATACGCAATAAACTTATCTATTTTATCTCTCTACGACTGTCTGACTATGTGCAGACATTGTTACAACGTATGAAACTCTCCTCATTGGTATTGTAAGGGTTAGTTCAACCAGGCAACAGTTTTCAGTTCTGAAGCGTTTATGCTTATACACCACAGAGTAAAAGGAATTTTTCTTTGGGAAAAAAATAAGTCATGTTGATGTTGAGTAAAATAGCTAGGCCTTATCCAAACAAGGTGTATGGAAATTACATTTCAAATCTAAGAATGGAAACAACAAGTATTTGGTGGAATAGTTTCAAAGTTAACAAAACCTCTTAAAGATAGGTTGCCAGGCAACGAAACATACACCCAGAGCAACTAAATCGTCCGGGCAGTCAACAACTGTTGTCGCATATTTTTACTTCTTTCGGTAATGAAACATTTATAATACACTAAAATCTGATTAAGAGTAACAACTGTTGAAGTAATTATCAGAAAACCATTAGAATTTGTTTGGTTTTTATAAAGTTCTGCCCCATGCTAACGTTTAGTATACAAAACTTTTAATATCATGGATTTAGCTGTTCAAGTCACAAAAATTCATTGAAAATCAATATACTTGTTCGTCTCAAGCTCTTAAACTCTGTGTATCAATCTGACGTCAACTCTGGCAGTAATTATCAAAAATCGCTGAAAATCAATAGGCTTCTTTGTCTCATGACCTTAAACACCGTGTATAAATTTCAAGTCAATTGGATATTAACTTTGGCCGTTAGAGGGCACACAAGATTTTTTGAAGTGATCAAGGGCCATAACTCTGGCAGTAATTATCGGAAATCGCTGAAAATCAATAGCTTCTTCGTTTCATGGCCTTAAACACTGTATATAAATTTAAAGTCAATCGGATATTAACTTTAGCCTCTAGAGCGTCCACAAGCAATTGTGGACGCCGGATGGATGGACGGACGGACGGACGGGGGCGACGACAATATACGACCACATTTCAATGTGGGCGTATAAAAATCGACAATAATTTACGGCCTTAAATAGACCAATTCGTAAACCGTCACAAATCATATGCCGTCTCTCGGTCTCAGTCTCACTTCATTCCGGGCCGTACCATGCTTTATGTATGTTTTAAAAATATGAATCATGTTTTATAAATTCCCGAAACACACACACAACTAACATATTATGATTGTATGTGATAATTCTCAGTAGTTTTGTTACCGAAAATACTATAAAACTACGAAATTAAGAGTCATTCCACGAGAAAACCATGCAGAAGGTGGGAAGGTGGGTGTCGGCAGATCAAGTTCATCTCGGGGGGGATTTTATGGACTCCTCAAGACTACTTCACAGCCAGGAGGACCGATCTTAAAATTTCACCGTTATTGAGAAACAGCCTCTGGGTGATTTTTGGCCAATTTTTCCAGTTTTCAGGTAATTTTTCAGCCACCTATTGTAGCGAGTCTAGGGTTTGGGTGGAAATGGTTGTGATTGGTGATGTTAGTGGGGGTCTTCTTGTGCCCCAGTGTGAAGACCATAAAGTCGCATCTATTCTCTGGGAGTAATGATCAGCAAAATCGTAACATATGGCGACTAAAACCGAAAATATACACCTGCGGAAATTAGCTCTATTTTCTATGATGCGGGGGTAGGTCAAAATGTCGAAATGGTTTTATGCACAGCTCGACACACTCTATTGATATAAAAAAAAAAAATCTCTATCGCCTCTCTTCAATCAATGCAAAATAATAAGTCAAAGTTGGTGAATTATCCCTATTGTAATCTCTCGTTCTCTATGAAATGGCCAACTTCTTTCATTCAGGGTAAGCCAACTTTCTCCGTTTCTTCACCAAATCATTCGCCAGCGCTCGGAGGTAGCAGCCTGAAACCTGCTCAAGCAAAACTAGTCTCTTTGATGATGATTGGTATCCAAACCATGACGGCCGAGACCGCAGAAAATTGTGTTTTTTCTTCATTTTTGGCCATAGAATGTGGTACATATCCCAGATATGAGCAATGAAATGACTTAATAGATTGAAAGAGTGTACTACGGACATTAAGGCCCGTCCTTTAGCACATTACATAGCAATAAGTGAATTGAGAACCGAATGGGAGCTGATTTCTTGACGAAGTGGGACTTTTGATCTTGATAAGTCGATTCTAGATGGAAAGGTGATATGTGCAGCCCATCGCTACAGCCTGGGTCTCAAATGGAATATTCCAAAAGGATGTAAACAATATGCTGTTCATAATGAGGAAATGGGCTGTCAAAAGAGCCAAATTGCTACACGGCCTCAGGTTAGTTCTTCAATAAATGATATGACGTAGGGTCAAAAATTAAACTTCATCAAGGGATAATTTTCAGAGCCCAAAATAAATCTTGCCATGCCCTTTAAAACTAAATTTGTATATGAAGGACATTTCTATCAGGGGCCACCTCTCAAGATATTGTTGATATCAACCCCAACGTATATGGGCCATTGAAAATTTTCTTGCATTGAGTCTCCGAATGATGGACTGACTGGTAACAGGGACTCCTGCAAATACTTAGAAAATAATTTTAGTAAATTGTTTTATGTGGTTTTATTGTTTCAGGTTACTGTTAGAACTGATGACATCCCTCCCACTGCTACATCATCTGCAGCTACTGGTAATGCTGTTTACATCCATCATCAATCAACTGCTACTACACCATCTGCAGCTATGGGTATTGCCACACTGCCTCTTCCTTCTGTAACAGCTATTGGTAGTAACACCAGTAACAGTAATGACTTAGAACTATCAATAATAGGCCTAGATCAGGTAATAATGATTACATGCAAAACCTTTAGGAAGGTTGCTAAAAATTCGCTGAAAGCCTACATCAAAACAAATCAGAATTAGAATACTGGGATTGGTTCAAGATTCGCATGTAATCATCATTACCTGATCTAGGCCTATTATTGGTAGTTATTGCTGTCACTGGTGTCGCTACCAATAGTGGTTACAGAAGGAAGAGGCAGCGTGGCAGTTGCAATACCCATAGCTGCAGATGATGTAGTAGCAGTAGATTGATGATGGATGTAAGCAGCACTACCAGTAGCTGCTTCGGTGGAAGCGAGAGTTAAATAAAGCTATTTCACACACACATATATTCGAAAAATATTAGACATTTCTAGCACGCGGGAAACCTCGGCAGATTCTGTTACTCTACATCTAGCTTCGGCTGCATGACGGTAAGTGATATGTACCTACGAACTTGCCGGTTTTAGAAAGAAGTTATCAAAATTGCGTCGTTCGAAGCGTGTTTAGAATTTTCTGAGCAAAGTTGTCCTTGTTTGAAGAAAATCTGATTAGGTACATGTCACTTACCGTTATTACGGACGAATTTGAATATTTTGTTTACACGTGATTTTTGTGTGTGGTCTAAAAACTGCCATCTTAAATAACGATAAGAGTTATGTTCCTTTATTTTCGGTAAAAATGTCCGACAACAAAAATTTTGAAATCCCATCACTGCTTGGGGTTGATATTAAGAATATTTTCAATCTGATTAAAACACAGACCCTATTTCGTTTCGTTTTCATAGTTCAAAATTTTGTTTTACTTGTCTTTACTACACTAGGATCTGAAAAGAGTTGTGAGGTATTAGCCAATGAAACGGTCTGTTACGGCGAGCTTTAGTCATGTTTTGCACGGAACTGTGGGTAAGCCCCTAGTTAATCAAATGTCCGACGTCATAGGCTCACTTGCCGCTCGTATGACCTCTGACGTGACCTATCGCAACAACCAGTCAGATCTTCATGTAGTGTAGGTCATCGAAAGTATAAAAAAAACGAAACGAAATATAAATCTTTATTTTAATTAGATTAGAATATTTTGAGAGGTGGCCCCTGATAGAAATGTCCTTCATGTACAAATTCAGTTTTAAAAGGCCCAGCAAGATCCATTTTGGGCTCCGAAAATGATCATATGATAAGTTGAATTTTTGACCCTATGCCATATTTTTTATTCGAGGAACTTCCCTGAGGCGGTGTAGGAACTTGGCTCTCTTGACATCTCATTTCCTCATTATGGGCAGCATAATATTTCTGGCATATGCATAGAATAGAAGAAAAAATTTCTAAAATTATAACAAGAATTTTTTAATGCTGCCAAAGCTAAAAAAAAGCAGAGAGCTGGCCTTTAGTAAAGGTATTACAGCTATATCAGATTCAATGCAGCTGGTTTGAGGACTTCTGAAGCCCATTGCTCAACTCAGTCAACTGGAGTATCACCGCACAACTGTTTTCTGCTAATTTGATTGTGGTCGAGCACACACACAAGGTTTCCATCGATATTTCAAAGACACAACTTCTTCCTTCTTTTTTTCAATAGTATTTTATTTCACTTAGCCATTCCAAAAGGAATCAGTTGATTCCAAGTGACACAACGAGGTCTTTGTTTGGCTTCTCCTTAGATGTGGCAGCATGCATCCTTTTGGAATACTCCATTTAATGCAGCTTCGTCAAGACATCAACTCCCTTTCGGTTCTCACATCACTTATTGCTATGTGATGTCCTAAAAGGTGGGCCTTTATGTCCTTAGTAGATTTTTTTAATCGTATGGAGTGATTCTCTTGGTCATATCTGGGATATGTACCACATTTAATGGCCAAACATGAGGAAAAACTACAATTTTGTGCACTTTC